GATGGGTAGTAGGATAAGCTTCTAGCTCTTCTTATATATGTGAAATAATGCACATTGCATTCAGATTGGATCAGGTATCACTTCAGTTCCATAAATAGAATTAAAAATAATGAACTTGGAAATTTGAAGTCAGTTGATGTATTATTAAAAAAAATCATAAATAATAATTAAGACTTGCTATGTAGAAAATCTCCCATACGCATTAATGAATCCAGAATTTCCTGATTGTGCTATATTTAATTAATTTTTTAGCATATCAATTGAGGCAAACCACTTAACTACCCTGGTCCTTTTTGTATTCATCAGTAAGACAAAAGTGATCTCAATGAAAACTTCAAGCTCTAAAATCCTATGATTCAGACACTCAAATATTTAATAGTAGGGACATTAGAATGTTTAGCACTACATGAAACATAACTTAGGGTCAGACTACTGTAACATTTTCTCCTTGATGTTTTAGCAATTCAAAAACATATCCCTTATTTAAATAGTTCCTAAAAGATTGTGTGCTTTTATGAGGAGAATTTAATAGTACTATTTTATGACCATATTCTTTGAATGTGGCAATATTCAACCAAGCATACGAATGTTCTTATTTTTGATAAGCATCAGTATTTAAAACTACTTCCCAAGAGAATATATATATAAATGATCTTTGTTTCCTTATTTCAAAACAACTGACTTGAAAACGAAGCTCTGTTGACACTTTTTCCCTAAGAAACTGTGTACTATGAAGATTCAGCTCTTTTTCTTTATTCTGCTCTTTTGGTTCACAATTTTACCAGGTAATATACAAACATTTGTGGGGGTATTTGTGGTAATGAGTGTGAGGAGATGACAGTTGTTTCTTGTTCAAAATAAGATGATAACATAAGTGTTAAAAGATTACTACACCAAATTGAATATGATGTTCTTTAGTGACCTCTGAAACAGAAAAAAGACAATAGTGGGAAAAGTAGTGAAACTGACATACAAATCAAATGCAATTTAGTTGACATTTTATCAATTATATCAATATTAATTTCTTAGTGTGAACAAACATTATGTGGTAACATGAGATTTCACACATGGGGAAACTGCCCTTGTAGCATGTTTTCCAATTCTTCTGTAAATCCAAAATAATTTCGAAATTAAAAATAAGATAATTACATTAATCCCTTCAATATCATCCAGCAACATTTTTTTAGAATTTATTCTTCATAAATGCCATAACTCTCTGGGAAGAATATTACTGAGTACAATAACTGGTTGGGGTAAGTGGCTCAGTGTATTTATCTTTTCCTTCTTTTTACCTATGTCCATATATACTTCCTGTCAGCAGTGATCCTTTCTTCGTATTCTTAGTACCTCATGCAGATTGTACCCCTATTGGTCTTAAGTATGTCTCTTCTCTACCTTGTGCTATTTTGTTGATGAGAATTTTTGCACTGATTTTATGTAACAAGCTACTCATTTCCTGAAATGATGTGTAAGCATTAATTTCACAAATATAAAGTAATAACACTCATTTCCTCTTAAGGAATTTGAACTAAAAGGATGTGCTCAACTCTGGCAAATTGGTGTTTGTAGAAATGAAGTCAAGGTCACATTTTGTAATTTTTAGGTCATACTCCTTTTTCCTACCTGGAAAAAGTAATGATACCACAATAGACGTCTAGAAGAATAAAATTAACTTGCGTTCGCATTGTAAGCATAACAAAGTCCATCGTGACACTCTAATTCCACATAATCAATTGTCATTTACACCTTACAAGTGGATACAATTCTACATATAGAGGCCAATGAAGTACTACAGTAATATAGTTAGTTGAGAACTCTGTTCACTCGGTTCGCTTTCTATTCACTTAGAAATCACTTATAAGAGGATCTCTGGATGTTTGCACTTTTAAGCAGAGATAAGAATAAATTTGCTACAGATTCATATAATTTTCAGTATGTAACAGCTTTTTTCTTCTAGCTTCAATAACCACATATAATAACAAATCACTATCCTAAGCATTTTTATCGTACTTCTTTCCCCTTATAACTGCAATTGTCAGATACCTTCACCAATAACTAAAATTATAGGCCACTTGGGGCTATTGTAGCAGAGATTACATCAGTGCTAATACAATTTTATATTTGTTTTCTTCTATTTTCAAAGTGAAGACTTTGTCCTCTGCTTTAATCATACATGAAGAAAACCTTTAGAAAGCACCTATCACTTCTGAAAAAATAATCTTAAGGTAAAGCAATAATAAAGACAATAACCATGTCTTGATATGAATTTTCTCCTCAAATTAGAAGAAGTATGCTATAGAAACTTAAAAAATAAGCTATTTATAATGGTGTCTTTCACCTTATAACACACCAATATACAGCAGAAGAATTCAACTAATTACAACTAAATGTCATATGTATTATTTTTAGTGTTCCTCAGTTGTTGTTATATTTTGTTTTCAATTCTCCAGATGCTGAAAGTTCCTACTAAACATTCATTCTCTTGCCACTGAGACAGCTGCACATGAAATAGTATCGAGATTAAATCCTTAAACTTTCTATACAGGGAAATGTGTATTCACGTAATTTAACTTTATTCCTCATTTTCTAGAGGTGACAAATGAACACAAAATCTAGAAACTGGATATGGCTTTACTGTCCCATTCCTTTTACTTTATCTGTCAAGTTGAAAAGTGTGTTTATTATCAATACTCATTTTTCTTTAAAACTGATGTGTAATTTGACTTTAGAACAGTGTAGTTTTGTGCTAAGAGGAAGTCATAGCCTTTTTCCCTTATCCACTAAAAGTTAATGGTAACATTGGGAACAAAGCAGTAAACAAGTAAAAATAAAAATAAATTGTGGTTTAAAATTGGAAAGGGTTCTGTCCAGTTCTACCTTATACATTAAAGTGGAAATTCATATAATACTTAAAGAGATTCCCTATCATGTTAAAATGTGATAATGTAAGGTGAATGATAGATATGAAATGCTATAGGAGAGAAACAGAGAGAGACTATTTTCCTAAAAGTCCTCAGCAAAGACTTTACAGAGGACAGATAGCCCTCTGAATCATGTTTATCTGTGGGCAAAAGCAAAATATATTTGTTTGGCTTATCACAGTATCATTAGAATGGCATCTCTCGGTGAGGAGTACCTTTGCATGCAAAGAGGTAAGGACAGTTTCCAGAGAACTTTCAGATTGTCACAACTATGGACATCTACTGAGTAACAATGCTAAATAAATACCTGAAAGACACAGGACAGACTCCCAGAGCAAAGTGATGTCCAACCCAAAAGTTCAGCATTTCTGAGGTTGAGAACACCCACCCTGCACCCCATCATAGAGCCCAACAAGAGTACATTTAATAGACACTAATTGCAGTCTTACTCTTCTAGACATAGATAAGAAAAATATCTTCCATGTTACTGTCTTTCCAGCATTGTCACAATGTCCTCATGATTCCAGCCTCACATTCTTCACTCATTTTTTTCGTGACTGATGAGAAAAAGAATCGGAAGCAGTAGTTAGCCAACTTTTCTCCAGAACACTATGATCTCAACTGCATCTTTGTAATGCAATGACAGGGGTAGATAAGTATTTGCCAAATTATTTACATAAGAAGGGATGGGGTGGATTGGGCCCCCTGCCCACAGTTTGCAGATTCCAAATCTAAAGAATAAATGGCATAAAAGAAGTTGGGAGAAATTCTATTTAAATCACTACTATTTTAGAAGTATTGTGGTAGAAGAAAGAAAAAATACTACTGGTAATTTTAGAAATCATGAAATGGCTAACAATAGCTGCCTCTTCTAGTCTATTTTTTTTCATATTTCTTGTGGGGTTTTTTTGTTGCTGTTCATTTATTCACATGTGCATACATCGTTTGGATCATTTCTCCATCCTGCCCCCTCCTCCACCCTTCCCCACCCCTCAGTTCCAGGCAGGTCCTGGTCTGCCCTTATCATTGATTTTGTTGAAGAAAAGACATATGCATAATAAGGAAGACAAAGCGTTTTTTCCAGTTGAGTACCCATGTGCTACGACCCATGTTGATTCAACTGTAACTGATCTTTACACTGATTCCTGATCCCCTGCTCATGATAACCTGTCATTTTAAGGTTTCTGTATTAGTTCTTCTGGAGTGGGGACATCAAACGCTTTCATGGTTTGGGTTTTCTACCTATTCCTATATCTCACATATGTGCTCTCCCCTAAAGTCCGCATATGAGAGAGAACATACGATTTTTGGTCTTCTGGGCCTGGTTGACCTCGCTCAGAATGACGTTCTCCAGTTCCATCCATTTACTCGCAAATGATAAGATTTCTTTTATCAAAGCTGTCACTAGACAAATATCTAAGTTAGACCATCTCTTTGGAGGAAGCATATACAAAATTTCCAAGAAGATGTGAGAATTCAGATGAATTGCCTAGCATTGCTTAACTGTCAACAATATAGAAAAGTAAAATTAAGATGTAGTTGAAATCACAGGAGGAAGAGATAACAAGGCAGAACATTCAGCTCACATGTTTATGAGAGGAGAAAAGGGGCAGCTCAAATGCCATTAGAGTATTGCAGGGGGAGAGTCAACAGAAGATAAAGGATGATTATTTTTGACTGCAGTCTTTAAAAGTATCCTCCAGTTATTGTACACTCCCTTGGCAACAGTGGGAACACCTAATTTACATCCAAGTCACTTTCTGATTTGTAGGGTTCCCTTATGCCAAGGGATAAACAATTCATGTAAATTTCCCCCCATAGGTAAAGATTTTCCCTCTATGATATTTTGCTTCTAGGATTTTCTCCTTTTAAAACATGGATGTCTCATAGATAGCTTGCTAATTGTAGTACTTCTTTCCTTCTTACAGCCAAAAAGCACTATCCTGAGTATGGTAGCTTGGATTTGAGGAGAGAGTGCAGAATGGGTAATGGTCGATGTAGAAATCAGTGCCATGAAAGTGAAATTAGGGTTGCTTTCTGCATAAGACCTGCAACTTATTGCTGCATGCAGAATTCAGGATGACAGAAGAAAAGAGACAAACTTCAAGAAGAGAGGACCAGTATTACTGTGTTCCCAGCACATCTTTCAAGACCTGTGTGTCCTTATAAAACATATGAATTAAATAAAATTTAATATTGAGCCATTCTTAAGTGGTTACATATAAACTGGTGCATTCAGAAATAAGCAGAGTTTGTTGTATTGGAAGTTTCTCAACAACTACACAAAAGGTCTAGTGTCTTATGACAGCTGAGTTAAGTAGTATTGTAAAAAACCCTATTTCAAAGAATAGATGTATAATTCTGAGATATTTCATTACTTTACTCTACAATTTACCCTCATGAAAAAAAAACACTAATCTGTTGGACTCTGGAAACTGGACAATAAGAGTGCAGAATTCTTGAAAGACAGAGCTAAAGGGAAAAAATAACCAACATGGTAGAGTGTAGTGACTTACATCTATAATCCCAGCCACTTGGAAGGTAGAAACCAGGATGGACAAAGCTTCAAGGTTCACTTGACCAAAAAATTAGCAAGACCCCACCCCCCCCCAATCTCAATCAATAGGCTGGGAATGGTAGCATGCACCTATCATCCCAGTTACATGGGAAGCAGAAATACGAGGATTGCAGTCCAGGCAGGCAAAGACAAAAACAAGATAAATTTGAAAAATAACTAAAGCAAAAAAAGGCTGAGGGCAAGGTTCAAATGGTAGAGCACTTTCCTAGCAAGCACAAAAGCCTGTGTTCAAACCCCAGTACATCCAAAGACAGACAGAGAGAGAGAGAAACCAAAGTGTAAGAATGAAAGAGCAGGGAAAAATTTACAACCACCTCTAATTTCTACTCTTATTTATTATCTAGTAAAGAAAAATGTGTATCAAGAAATTGTAGGTGGGCATATAATAAATTCAGAAAGAAGAAGCTATCCATAATTAGAAGTTTTGATAAAGGAAGTCAAAAACTCTGGCAATACACAAAATTCTCAACATTTGTGCAGCTCATGTTTTAGTGGGTAAAGGCAAAAATAAACGATGATAAAAAGTAAGCAAATTATGTAGTATGTTAAAAGGTGATAAATGTTACAGAAAAGGAATCAAAACAGAGCAAAGATTCCTAAAAATACTGGTGGGATGCACTACGATGTAAATATAAATTTTCATGGGGATTGTTGAGAAAGTAACATTTTGAGCATAAATTTGGACGGCGTGGTCATGGGGGCACATTTGAAATTTGCAGGAATGTCTTGGAGGCATGAGGAGAATCCAGGGAGAAAAGGCCAGAGAGGATGTGTGCTGATGAATTACCCAAAGATTTTAGAAACCAGAAAGGATTTTGATATGAACTTGGAGAGGAATGTGAAGCATTTTGCCAAAAGAGATACATGATTTGAATGTTGTTTTCCAAAGACCTCTCTGAAGTACTTCACTGAATTAGAAGAATATTGAAATAGATATAGTACATTCTAGTGGCACAATCCAGGGTGATACAGTGAAAAAAAACTGAAGAATCCTTGTATTATCAATGTGTTAAAGACAGAGTTAGCTCAAATTCATGATAGATTCAGTTTGGCTGTAACACAGAGAGAAGGGACAAAATGAATCCATGGTTTCTTGTCTGAACATTTGTAAAGATTATGTTTGCTTTGAGTAAGGAAGTATATTAAGTGGAAAAATTGGGATTAAATTAGTTCAGTACTAGATGTTTTGAAGTTTGAGATATCTAATAGATTTTACAAGTGGTTATGTGGAAAATATAGCTAGAAAATCAGTGATCTGGTTGAGTTGACTATAGTAATCTTTGATTGGCAAGCGATGGGTACAGAATAAATAAGGGATTAGCTCTTTATCAGAACATGAAGATGTTTATTCATTAATGAGCAGGAGGGGTAGAATACATAGGTGTAGAGGCCAACGGACAGTTAATTTGATGTCAATGTCTGTAGTAATTCTTCATCTGGGTCATTGAAGAAGGAAGCAAGATCACGAGCTGAGAGTGAAAATTAGGAATGATGACACTTTGGAACCGTGAAAAGAAGAGAATTTGTAGAGGAGATTTTAAAAGTGGCAGAACTAAATAGCCTGTTGGTGTTCTTTAAGACTGTCCTATCTCTTGCATTTTTAATCCCTCCTTGTTGTATCTTCCTGTGTATTGACCCATTTGACTTTGCCTTTTTTGTGAGTCAGACATATTTCAAAAGTTCACTTACTTAGTAAATACAAATATTCTTGTTTTTTTATCTTAAAAACAGTTCCCCTTATCCTATTATTTCATGCTACAATCTAATGTGCCTATTCTATTCTCCACGAAACTCCTCAAATAGTAGTCTAGATTCCACTATTTTATCAATACTAATACACTTTTCTCCCATCCATTCACTACATTTATTTTTTTATTCCTACCTACCACAAACCAAGAAAAACTTATTTGCTTACTAAATATGTATAAATTACAAGAAAGGACATTCTGAAAATGAAGAAAAATTGGTAAATTAAGATAGGTTGTTTAATCTGGTACAAATCAATAAATCATTCATGAGACCAACAATGAAACATGAGTCTGTGAATTACGGGGTTACAAAATATTTGTATATCTATTAATTCACATAATTTACTCATAGCCCACTGAAGTAGGAAGTTGTTATTAAATATATTTTATGTTTGAGGAAATGAATATAGGGATTATGATATTTGCTCTGTTGACAGAGAAAATAACTAAGGAAGAGCCTGTTGCAAAGTACAGAGCTTCTTGTTATACAATACGACTTAGGTTCTCATCTATATGAATATATTCACTCAGTCATCTTTCAGTTGATGCATTCATTGAATATGCTGTGTCAAGCATTTTGCTACATACTGGAATAAGTCCATTAAGTAAGGCATACAGAGGGAATGGGCCTGCTGGGGCTTTAAGATTATAGGTTTGTGGATTGGGAATGTAGCTCCATGGTATTGTGCTTGTGTACACATAGGTTCAATCCACAGAACCACACAGAAAAGAATTAGAGATTTGCTCTTATGCTGTAGCATGCACCACATTATCTATAACTGTATCTGTGGACCGGGCACAAAGGCTTACCAGCAATACTGTAACAGGTCATAAAAAGCAAGTAACAACACTCTACTTAGGATCAGGTTTTAGTGTGGATCCAAAAGGGAATAAGGAGAGAAGGAATGATGACAACCTGATTTTGAATCCTAATGGATTCATTTATAAAACATTTGAGTGCTCTAATTATACAAAATAATGGATTCCATTATGACATTTTGTACTTGTATATAATGTACTTTGATCACATTCCCTCTCCATTATTCTTTTTGTTCCCCTCCCCCTCTCTTTGATACCCTTCCTCTTCTCAATCTTCACTTTTTAATAGAAATCTAGACTTGGCTTATGAGATAAAATATGTGATGTTTGTCTTTCTGAGTCTGGCATATTTTACTTAATACAATGACTTCCAGTTCATTCTTTTTTATAGCTGAATAATACTTCATTATGTATGTATAATATATTTTTAATTCACTTATCCCATGATGGACAAGAAGGCGATTCCATAATTTGGCTATTGTGAATAGTCCTGTGACAAGCAAAGGTTTGCAGATATATCTAGGGTATGTTGACTTTAATTCTTTCAGGTATCACCAGTAGTAGCATAGGGGGATCAAACTATTTTTGATTTAGAGGGAATTTAAATATTGATTTCTATACTGGCTGCACTAATTAACACTCCCAGCCACAGTATTGGAGCCTGAGGGCTCTACAACCAATTTTGTGTGTTCTGTGTTCTTCATGATAGCCATTCTCAGTGTGTGAGATGGAGTCTTAATGTAGTTTTGATTGGCATTTCCCTAATGGCTAAAGATGTTGAATATATTTTCGTCTACTTATTGGCCATTTGTACTCCTTTTGAGAACTATCTGTTCAGTTCATTTACCCATTTATTGATTGGGTTCTTTTGGTATTTTCAAGTCTTTGAATATTTCTGATATCAACCCTTGTCAGATGAATATCTGCAAAAGATTTTATTTCATTTTGTAGGCTGTCAGTTCACTCTGGTAATTGTCTCTTTTGTTGTGCTGAGGCTTCTTGGTTTAATGCAATCCCACTTGTCTATTCTTGCTATTATTTCCTGAGCTATTGGAGTCCAATTCAGAAAGCTTTTGCCCCTCTCTGTCTCTTTTGTGTTGTTGTTAACTTATTTATACATAGGTATATTACATTGTTTGGGGTATCTCTCCCCGCTGCCCCCTGCCCTCCTCCATCTCCCTCCCAACCACCGCCGCTCCAATTTTGTTGAAAAGAGAAAACATAAAAGATAATAAGAAAGACATAGCATTTTTGCTAGCTTGAGATAAAGATAACTATACAGAGAGATTCCTAGCATTGCTTCCATGCACTTGTGTATTACAACCCACATTGGTTCATCTCTACCAGACCTCTTCACTACTTACCAGTCACCTTCCCATAGTGGCCTCTGTCAGTTTAAAATTACTTTATTATCTTCTCTACAGAGTGCACATCAAATACTTTCAAGTTTTAGGTTTCCTTCCCTTTCCCCATTCCTCTTGTATACGTTCTCCCCTTAGTGTATGACCCACGTCCAATAAATTACTTCAATTGTTTTAGGTCTATAATCTGCATGTGAGGGAGAACATATGATTTTTGGCCTCTGAGCCTGGCTAACTTTGCTTAAGACGATGTTCTCCAGTATCTTGAAGGACTTTTCACTAGTACTTTTAGGTCTTACATTAAGGCATTTGATCCATTTTGAGTAATTTATTTCCTTTTTTCTTTTTGGTAGGGTACTGGGGTTTGAACTCAGGGCTTCAAATTTTTTTCTCTTTTCATGAAAATTCATTACTACTGGTCCGATTTCTCTGGTGATGTATAAAATGCACAGAAATATAAGTGGTTTTTTCACTCTTTTGGATGCTATGTGTCATCCTCTTCTCATTCACTTTTTTTTTATTTTTCTTTTTTATGTGATATCTATCATCTAGTTTTAATCAGCTCACATAAACACTAATATACTTCTGGATGACATTTTTATGGCACTGTAGGGTTTAAAATTTCCTTTCACACTTGTTATAAAATGAATTTCCATAACAATGCCAAGAGATGCTGTTGGTATTCTTAATTTACATATGGCAAAATTGTGATTCTATAATGATATATAATTTCTGCCTAAGAAGTAACAGAACCAACTGTGCATATGTGCCCTTTGCTTCTAGATCATATGGTTCTGTAGATTTCTGACACAATTTTTATTCCTTAAAATAATGATAAAGTTAAAAAATTTTACATCTTTGATATTGCTAACGATTACCATAAATTCATACTTGCTTTATCTAAACTTAATATATCTGAAAAATTAGCAACACTGGGGTGGTTGACAAGATATAATGCCTCAGAAATGTTTATTAGTTAAAAGTTCCAGCAAAAGTTTAAAAAAAAGAAGTGTAATTGTGCATTATGTACTTTTCCACTTTAAATTAGGTCTGGAGGCATGGCTCAAGAGAAAGAGTGCCTGCCTCACAAGCAAAGCCCAGAGTTCAAACCTCTATGGTGCCACAAGTCTCCTCTCCTTAAAGTTTTAATTTACTTCTGATTCTGCCAACTTCATTCAGTTTAATTAAATTATTGCATTGGAAACCATTCTAGTTGCTGTTCAGTTCTTAGCCTAATGCTTAGAGGACATAGGAACTCAAGCAACTGCCTGTTATGTTAAGTTGAAACACACCATTTTACATTTCAGCTATGCTCTATGCAAATAAAATATTATAAGTAGGCATTATATAATTTAAATCTACTATTGATTTCCTTCATTCTCCAAATTTTAATGAAATTAACTTTTTTCTTTCCTACCACATATTAGTATTTAAAAGTATATCTCCGATATTGTGTTCATTATATTATCTCATGCAGATAAGCAGAATGATGAATCAAGATAAAGTAAGAACATCAAAATTAGGAAAATAATATGTGACTCGTCTCTTTTGTATTCTAAAGACATAATTGCATTATAAAATAAAATCCTAAAGTAACAAACTGGCTATACATGTACTGTTGTTTAGTGTATGAGTACAAAGCATGATTTTGGAATCTCAGAACACCTTTCCTTTCATTATCTTAAATGATTCACTTTTAAAAAACCAGAAGATTAACATAGAGAAACTTTGTAAACTAGTTATGCAACATACAGCAAAGGTTTGTATGCTTCTGTGTATCAAAAGTGCATTAGTCATATGAATAATAAAAGAAAAAAAAGTGCATTAGTTTCCTCAACAAATGATCCCCTCAAGAAGTATTTGCATTATAAATACCTTACAATTTTTGAACTACACTGAATAAGAGGTTATGAATCAGAAGAATTCATAGATATCACACAAAGACTTACATGTTGTGTTTTTTTTGTAAGTACTAGTGTGTGTTATGCTATCTGTTAATTGGTACTGCAGAGTATTGAAAAAGATTCATTGTTCCAGTAGAATGAAAGAAAATTTCCATGAAGAAATCTAGATTGTATCTAAAATGAAGAACAAACCATTGAGTAAATGATATTGTGATTGGGTTTGAAAAATTTGAAAATATGAAATGAAATGCCGTATTTTTAAAAACAATAGGCAGATATCAGGATAATGATGGTTCAAAGCCAGCCTTGGAAATATAGTCAATGAGACTGGTATATACCTATAATCCAACTACGTGCAGAAAGCATAGTCAGTGAATTGCTATCCAGACTGGCCAAGCAAAAACATAAGACCTTACCTGAAATAAAAGCAAAAATGGTTGGATGTGTGGTTCAAAAGGTAGTGTACTTGCCTAGAAAACACAAGGCCCTGAGTTCAAACCCTAGTACCACCATCAACAACAACCAAAAAAAGAAAAACATTGGTTCAATGAGATCATTGGAGAGTAAGTCTAGTTTAAACAAAACAAGGATAGCAAAATAGGGTGTCAAGAGCCCCAGGAGACAGCTGAAGCTCACTGTTGATGCGAGCTGTAAGATAAATTCATACATATTTTGTGCAAGCAAAATGTCTATAGCTTGTCACTTTCTCAAATGATAATTGTACTACAAACTTATGGTTCTACCAAACACATCTTATATACTCATGCTATCATGAATAGAACAAATTTTTTACTATTCAGGAGAATGGATAGTGAGAGTGAATAATAGACTGATACCATTATGTCTTTCTTGATTGCAGCAAGGAGTAACCTTCCACCAAAGTATAGATTTGAAAGATGCGAGAAAGTGAGAGGAACATGTAAAACGTTTTGTGATGATGTTGAGTATGATTATGGATACTGTATTAAATGGCGAAATCAATGTTGCATTTAAACTCTGGAAACAGAAAGACTACTGAGCATCGATCCTGGACCAGAGACGCCTCTTACTGACTCAAGTGTAGGGAAAAAGAAAATGTTGCCAACCTTTTATGAAATAGGCACTTTTAAAATCTAAATATATCTATTTATCATAAAAATGACATCTATTCATGGAAAATTTTATATGTCAGATGGATGAGCATATTAATCAGGCAAGGGAAAGCTTGTTTATAATCTCATTATCAACACTTTGTAGCTCAGACTTTCACATTACTTATCTGAGGCTCTCCACACCCTCTCTAACAGAGTACGTGTGTTTAGATGACACAATCTGAACTGGGTTTATGTATGCACTCCTACATCATCCCCAGAGCAGACAACATAATCATCTCCAAACGTTTGCTCTGGCTCCTTCCTTCCCAATCCTTGTCCTTCTCCCATGTTGATGCAGTAGCATTTTGGTCATTACATATTAGTTTATTTACAACTTGAACTATTAAAATCTTGTTTCTTTTACTTGGCATGGTTTTAAGGTTTTTTCATGTTGTCACTAGTATCCATATTTCGTTCCTTTTGGGTGCTGAGTAGTGATCCTTTGTCTGAATACATCACAGCTTATATTTAATTCACTTCTGGAAGAACATCCAGATTGTCTCCAGATATTAGTTGTTACAAATGAAATTATTTTGAACATTCCTAAGAGGACATTTTGTAGACATGTGCCTGATTTCATTGCTTTAGGGTAAATGTCTAGAAATAAAATGATAAATGATAGCATATAATAAATGTATTTGTAACTTTTAAAATAAAATACCAAACTGTTCTCCAAAGTGTTATGATCTGATTTCATTCTCTCTATTTCTCTCTTTGCTTTTCATTTTCTTAAAGGGGAATGTAGAACAAAGTTTCTTCATTTTTAAAAGTTTTAAAAAATTTTTTAAAGTTATGTTTATTTTTAACTGGTATGCAAAACCATAAAAATTGTACATATTAATAATGGAGTAGCATGATTTCTTTCAGAGGTAATGGGGTTTGAACTCAGGGGTTTGCACCACTTGGCAGGCACTCTACTGCTTGAGCTACACGTCCAGCCCTTTTTTGCTCTGGTTAATTTGGAGATAGGGCCTTGCTTTTTGCCCAGGCCAGCCTGGACCCAATACTTTTTCTTATTTTACCCTTCCCATCATTGCTGGAATGACATACTTGCCACTGGTCCATCTTTTTCCATTGAGGTGGGATCTCATCAATCTTTTTTCCTGGGCTGGGCTGGAAATGTGTTCCTTCTGATCTCAGCCTCCCAAGCAGCTGGGATTGTAGGCATGAGCCACTGGAGCCCAGCTAAGATGATGTTTTGAAACACATGTATATTATGCAATTTTTCAGTAAGGTTGATATACTAACTTGGTTTATTTTCAAATGGTAAACCAACCTTAATTTCAGATGAACTCTGCTTGGTCATAATATAGTATTATTTTATTATTATAAAATAATAATATGTTATTTTATATTTGGTAAAATTCCTTAATACCATTAGGGAATTTTTTTCTAAGAAGCTTTAAATTAAAAAATGGTTCATTTAATGGACATTGGGTTTTGGGTGATGTTTCTTTATATTTAAGCCTTGCTATTTAATATTTTTCAATAACATGTCCACTTCACCAAAATATTTAAATTTTTCATAGGGATATTCATTTTAACCTATCTTTTAGTATTTCAGTTTGTAATGATAATGCTTCCTGATAATTCTTGAAAACACAAATTTGATTTTTTCACATTCATACCAGAGTATTTTGAATAAAGCTTTATTAAATTTAGTAATCTTTCCAATGACTGGTTGAATGACTTTTCCCTGATTTAAAAAATATTCCACTAACTAATAATTCATGATTTACATTATTCTTCTTAATGTAGTTTTAATTTTCTTTTCCTCTCCTACTTTATTAGGATGGAATATGGCATCACTAGTTTATCTTTAACTTGTCTTCTTCTAACCCAGGCATCTAACGCCATAATCTTTGCTTATAGTGTTGTTTAGTTGAATCACATATATTTAATATGTTGAATTTCATTTTTATTTTTTCCAAATACTTTGTAATTTCACTTTTAAGTCTACTGATTAATTAATTATTCAAAATGTGTATTTGTCTTTCAATTACTGGAGAATTTTAGCCATTTCTGGACATTTAGATAGTTCTCTGATTTCTACTTAATTTCAATGTTATCAGAGGATATATTGACAATGACTGGCCTTAACAGCACACTAAAAAGGTCATTCACCATGATTAGAACTTCTTCCAGGGATACAAGAGTATTTCAATCTACACAAATCAATAATCCTGATAAATTCATTAACAAAATGAAAACAAAATGATCATTTCATAGATGAATAAAGAGCATTTGATAAAACTCTCAACAAATTAGGTTTAGAAGGAATGTACCTCAACACAATAAAGACCATAAATGATGGAAATCAAAGCTAACATCATACTGAATGGGAAAAAGTTAAAAGCCATTCCTCTAAGATCTGGAATAAGATAGGATGAACACACTTGCCACTTTTATTTAGCATAGTGCTAAAAATCCTGGCCATCCACCTAGCTGAAGTAAAGGGCATCCAAATTGGAGAGGAAAAAGTTAAATTGTCCCTCTTCTTTGCAGATGACATCACGTGTGTGTGTGTGTGTGTGTGTGTGTGTGTGTGTGTGTGTGCATTCCATCAGAAACTTTTAGACTAGTAAGGGCATTCCAAAACCTCACAGGATATGAAATACACACAAAATCAGCAGTTTTTCAATGTGTTAATAGCAAACTATCTTAGAAAGAACTCAAAAGCAATCTCACTTACAACAATTAAAATGAAAAATACCTAGGAATAAGTTTCAAGGAGTTAAAACATCTCTACATTGAAAACTATAAAACACTTACGGAAGAAACTAAAGACACAAAGAAATTGAAAATTATCCCATGTTTGAGAGTAGAAGAGTTAATATTGTTAAATTGTTCATACGCTTCAAACTGATGCATAGATTTTGAATGAACATTCTGAAAATATCAGTTATTTTTCACAGACAGAAAAAAATTCATATGAAAGCAAAAAACCCACAAATGCTAAAACAACCATGTGTGAAAATATCAAAGTTGAAGGCATCATGCTGCCTAAAAAGCCAAGCTCTGAAAGACAAAAATTGCATTATCACGTTTCTTCTCATATGTTTAATCTAGACCTAAAAAAAACAATAACATGATCATCAAAGGGGGATCCTTGAGGAATTAACGAACAAGAGGGTAAAATAAGACGAAGGTGGAAGGTCAATATAATCGAAGTACTCTCTATGTAAATATATATATATATTAAAATTGCATAATGAAACTCATTAAAGCTCTTGAAATAGGGGCAGGAAGAAAGAGCTAAGAAAGAGTAATAGAGGGGGTGAATTTGATCAAAGTACATTATATGCATGCACGAAAATGTCACAATGAAACCCTTTTGTACAATTAAGTGACAGTAATAGAAAACAAAATGTATACTAAAAAGCTACAAAAATCAAAAAGTATGGCATGGCATAAAATTGGACACATAGAGCAGAATAAGAAGCTCTGAAATAAGTTCCTGAATTTTAGGAACATAATTTTAGGAACATTGGAGAAAAGATAATCAGGTGATGTTGGGAAAACTGGAAATTCACATTTTTATTTTAATTTTTTATTTAAATATATGTATTGTACAGGGGAGATTCATTATAGCAGTTCAAAATAGGCTTACATTATACATTGGCTGGCTCACTCCCACTATCTCTCCTTCTTGGCCCCCCTCCCTGCCTCACCTAAAGCAATTGCATGAGGTTTCATTATTCTATTTCATATATGAAGTCCACCAACCATATTACCTCACCTTAATCTCCTTTGTTCACCTTCCCCCCTTCTACAAGTCTCCCTCACATTCTATCTATTTTATAGATCTGTCTTTGATTTTTAATTTCTAAGTCGATGTTCAAAGGAGCTTGTTGATGTTAGTATACTTTGCTTTGGTTCATTCAACTCTTATTACTCTTCCTTACTCTTTTCCTCCCACCCCCCATTTTCAATAGCGTTCAGCAAATGTACTTACATCTTCTACTTTTCTACAATATTATTGATGCTCTATCACTCCCTTTTCCTTTACCTCCTTCCCTGAGTTTCACAGAGTAGTTCCACAATTATAAACATATTCTACATATATGTTTATATATGATCACATTTGTTTTTGTGTATATGTTTACCTTTTGGATCTATCTTCCACATGACATTTTTCACAGAGATAGAAAAATGATTCTTAAAACTCACATGCAAATACAGATGACCTCAAATAGCCAAACAATTCTGAGCAAAAAGTTCAAAAGCTAGTGGCATCACAATTCCAAACTCAAACTACACTACAGAACTACAATAATAAAAACCGCATGGTATTGGCACAAAAGCAGACATGAAAATCAATGGATTAGAAACAGAATTCAGATAAATAAACCCACACAGTTAAAGCCAACGGATTTTTGACAAAGGAGCCCAAATCATATGATAGAGAAAAAATAGCCTTTGCAACAAATGTTGCTGGGAAAAATAGATATCCACATAAAGAAGACTGAAAATTCACATGTTTAAGAGTGAAACTAGTCCTTATCTTTCACCATATACAAAATACATATGTATTAAAAAATATATATGTAAAACTTAACCTATGAAACCATTAAAAGAAACAATAAGGAAAAAGCTTTAGGACATTGATTTTGTATATGATCTAAAAAGCAAAGACAAGTGTGCTAGTCTGCTTGCCATTGTCAAGACAAAATGCTTGAGACTGGATAATTAGTAAGATAAAGAGGTTAGTTTGGTCCACAGTTCTAGAGATCTGTGACCATAGCTTCAGGTTCTGTTTGGCTATAGTGAAAGCCTCAAGGTGGATAACACCACAATGGTAGGCACATGTGTGGCAGAGAGTGATCAGAAAGACAGAGTGGAGAGGGGCCAGACTTGATC